TTGATTGCTTGTTATTTTCTCTCTATTATTAAAAAAAAAAAAAGTATTTTGGGCCATTTACATGGATCAATCTGCTTTGCAGAATTGGGCCACAAGAATGGGAAGCTAATAAAATAGGATTGGGCGAATTATGTTGAACATTCTGCTCTATAGAGTTGTGCCAAATTTGATAAAGAAGATTTAGGCAAATTATTGTGTGAATCATAATAAAAAGTATACTTTTAATATACTAAAAGTACATTATTCATGTATTGATATATATTATACAAAATAATGTACTTTCAGTATTCAAATAATATATTTAATTTCTTTTAATACAATGTATATTTTTAATATGCTAAAAGTACATTACTTATATACTGAATATACATTATTTGAAAGTATGGTCGACACAGTTGTATGGAACATGGTTCACACAATAATGATTGGAAGATTTGCGGCGTTTTTTCTTTAAATGTCGATATGCATAATTATGTTTCTGTAAATAAAGGGGAAACGGCGCTTTTGACCCCTCAATTGTTTTAGTTTTGAAAATTTAGCCCTTCTCAATTGATTTGAGCAAACTTAAGTTACTTAACCCTTTAATTGTTCATAATGTAGCACATTTGGTCCCTCATGTTATATAATTAGAATTATTTTTAATAATTTATATAATTTATTCATTCAAAAATTAAAAATATTATTATAATAAATAAATACATAAATTAAAAAAATTTAAAAATTTAAAAAAAAAATTAAAAAAAAAAAAAAAAGAAGAAGAAGAACAGCCACCGGCGAGGCTTCTTCCTTTTTTCTTTTTTTTTTTTTGAATTTTTGAATTTTTTTAATTTATGTATTATAAAAATATTTTTAATTTTAAATAAATAAATTATATAAATTATTAAAAATAATTCTAATTATATAACATGAGGGACCGAATGTACTATATTATGAACAATTAAAGGGTTAAGTTTGCTCAAATCAATTGAGAGGGACTAAATTACCAAAACTAACACAATTGAGGGGCCAAAAGCGCCGTTTTCCCTTAAATAAATTAAAAAACTATTACTCCCTTACATGAAAATTTTCAAATTACTTTTCTCGTATGTTTTATTTGTCAACTTTGTAATTAAGAATGAAAAATGTGTTATGTTCACAATACAAGTTTGTGTGGTTTAATAATCTTTTAATTACATTTTTAATATATTCATTGTACAAAGCAGCGCAGCATAAACAAGTACAAATTTATATTCAAAACATCTGGCATATATTGACATATTGTGCATTAATATATGGAGGGGACATAAATGTCCTATATATATAGAGAGGAGGAGGAGACACATGTCGAGTGATCGGCATGTCCTTTACGTGTCCTAAGTAGATTCGGTGGTGAGATTATTACGCTTGCCAAGTGTTCTTAGAGTTTTGACACGTAATCGGATAGGGTTGGATTTGTCTTGATGTTTATATCCCGATCGGCGGCTTGGTCGGGCGTGGTCATGGAGTCTATTAGTAATCCGGCCAGAAAGTCTACATGCAAGTGACTGTTAAGTTCACTATGTAATTAGACTGGGAGGTCTATTAGTAATAAGATCAGGAGGTGTACAGTCTACTAGTAATGAGATCGCGAGATCTACTAATAATGAAACCATGAAGTAGTCATGCCCTCTCAAGGTTACGTTAGGAAATGCACTAGTATGCTCAGGAAACATACTAGTGAAGTCAGGAAATGTACTACTAAGGTCGAAAAATGCACTAAGAAGGTCAAAAATACACTAATAAGGTCAGAAAATAACTAGTGAGCTCCGTAAGGCAAGTTAGTTACCCTATAACCCTATCACTTAATTAGGATCCCTACAAACTAGGATCTTGACTAACTAAACTAAAATTAATTCAACAATAATGTTATTTAAAATAAATAAATCAAAATTATATGATGGTCCAACATGACTTGTATATGGAACAACTAAACCAAGTCATACCAACTTTATTTTCCCATAAAAGTTTATCCATGGACGGACCATGGAAATTGGTAGAAACACAGAAATCTCCATACCCCTATTCTGCGAGAAGGAAAACCTGCAACTCATCAGAAGGCATTCTATCACGAGATAAATAACAATTCTTTTTTTTTTTTTTAATTATTATTATTATCTCAATTCTTCTATTTCTTTTTTTCCCCAATTCGAAGGTGTTATCTAGCTAATACATTTCTAAATTAAGAACAACTCAACAATGGTGGTAGGATAATTTATAAACAACTAATAAATATAAAGAATAGATGGGCAACTAATAAATATTAAAAAGATAACATTTTTTCTATACAATTATACATATCATTTAACATACTTTTGACAAATGTTTGATAGATGTCCATGTAAATGTCTCTATTCAAAACTCATATTAATTTATTTTTGGAATAAGGTTGAAATTGACCACTGAACGTAACCTGAAAATGCAATTAGGCCACTGAACGAAAAAAAAGTGCAATTAGGCCACTGAACACTCCAAAAATGTGCAATTTCACCTGATAGTAGGTTACCCTCAATTTTAGCAGGTTATCTGCTTACGTGGCAGCTGAGTTGACATTTTTAATAAATTTTAAATAATTTTTAATAAATTTTAATAATAAATTTTTATTTAAAAAAATTAAAAAAAAAATAAAAACGACTTTATTTTATTATTTATTTATTTATTTCAATTTTTTATAAAATTTATTATTAAAATTAATTATTAAAAATTATTTAAAAATGCCAACTCAGCTGCCACGTAAGCAGGTAACCTGCTAAAATTGATGGTAACCTGCTATCCGGTGAAATTGCATACATTTGGAGAGTTCAGTGGCCTAATTGCACGTTTTTGGAGTGTTCAGTGGCCTAATTGCACTTTTTTTTTTTCGTTCAGTGGCCTAATTGCATTTTCAGGTTACGTTCAGTGGCCAATTTGAACCTTATTCCTTTATTTTTTTTAATATTTGGAGAAAAATGTATCTTTCTTGCTAATTATAATGCGAATCCTCATATTATAAAATTATACATGAACTTGTTGAATTTGTCATGAGTTAATTAGATAGTAATAGTGAAATAATGATACATTTTAGTTAGGGGTGAGCGTCGGTTGATTCGGGTGATACGCAAATTTTATTTCAAGTATTAAAAAATTCGAGTGATCTTTTGACACCTAATATTCAAACCGAGTTAAATCGATTTGGGTGAAAATATTTTAAATTTATTTTAGGTTAGTTTGAGTATATACAAAATTTTATTTTTATCAATTTTGAGTTTTTAAATGACTTTGTTATTGGTGTACGTATTTTTATTTTATCATATTATAATAAAATTAAAAATAAGAAAAAAAAATACTAATTGACTTGGTCCGGGTCGACCGCCCTCAATCTGTTATCTGGGGTTCCCGCCGACCTCTGCTGGTATCGTCTCCTCCTCGCCTCTCCGATGGTCGGGGTGAGTTGACATCTCCGTCTACTTAGTGTTCGGAGAAACCGGGTGCTCAGCCCATCGTCCCCCCCCCCCCCCCCCCCCCCCCCCCCCCCCCCCCGGGAAGAAGTGGGGCCGCTTGAGGCGCATCGAGGCCAAGCGGAGGGGGTTGAACACCTCCCTGGAGCCCCTCCACGAGGCGAGTCAATAGTATCATAGCTTGTTGGATTGCAGCCACCCCTTCTTGGAGGTCAAGGGTCGGGGTGGGGCGATGGGAGTCGACCCGCCGTCACGATTGTTGTTGAGTCGATCCTGTAGGTCTCCCGCCAACCTCACTGGGAGGGTTTGCCGTCTTGTGGCCCCGTTCAGACAATTTCCACTCGGGGATACACAAGTGTTGCGCGAATCGCGAGAGTTGGACATCGACCTTGTCATTTTTCTGGTGTTAGATTTGGTAAAAGATGTCAATTAAGGAGCAAACTCGAGCATTATGTCGAGCTCTCAACAGAGCACCAATGATGAATTATATTGACCCGGGTCGTTTGACTCAAATAATCCAATAATTAAATGATAAATAATAAGAGATAAAACAAAGGTAATGGAAAGGAAAAGACAATGAATTGTTAGTCATGGAGACAAAGTTTGTATTAATGAGCCGTGTCAATCTATTACGAGTTTGGAATGATGTCCTAACAAGACAAAGAGGAGTGTTTTCATACTAATCAACTCCTAACCGCCCCGCGAGAAAGGGGCGGGAGGTTACAACCACAATGGACCACGCCCCGCGCCGCACGTACTGCACTGACCGAGCGCGGGCAAATTATACTATGGACCGCGGTCCAGAATGCATTGTGGTCCAGGCATCAAATATGCACTATAGTTTCATTTCAACACAACTACAATATCATTTTGATATAACTACAGTTTCGCTTGACAATATACACTTAAATATATGAAATTGTTATTCAGTTTCATTTTGTATACACTGCAGTTTCATTTCAACACAACTACAGTTTCATTATTTCAATTCAATTTCACTTTCATTTGATAATATAATAAAAATAATACGTGAGACAGTGCCAGTTTAGATACACTATAGTGTCTGTCGTTTTGGACCATGGTCCACAAAGCTATGTGGACCGCGGTCCACAGTATAATTGCTGCCGAGCGCTGTGCTCGGCCTAGGCATCGAGCATCGGGCTCGGGCGAGACTGGGCTCGGCCACGCTTGGTTGGCCGGGCTCGGCTCCGGAGCCCCATAATTGGTTGGGTCCGGTTTCCTTCGGGTTGATCTGTACCGAGTCTATGTATGATATATCCATCAATTATATTTATAATAACATTCTGGGTTAGTTTGTGTTTCAGGTCATATATAAATAAAATTTTAACTTCCCGATATCCGAACTGAATTTTTATTAATATATAACATAATTAAAAAATATCTATTGATTGAAAAAAAAAAAAAAATCTATCGATAACTATTCGGATTCACTCAAAATTTAAAATTCAATTCAAATTTTGGGTGTCAGATAATCCGAATTATGTCGACCCTACTTCTACCATATATATATGCACACACTCATTTAGCTGAAAGCTAAGGCAATGGCATTTGTACAAATCAAGAGGTAAAATATTAATTGCAACAAATAATTAACTTCATCTTATGATCTTAATTAATTACCCCACGAAGAAGAAGAAAATTAAATCTCTACTTCAATTAATTCTAGCTAAGGCTGGGTGGGGTTACTCTAGCTACTACTTGGATGAAGAAATGGTGATATGATGACTGGAATTGGAGAGGTAAGAATACGCAAACATGGCGTGCATCGCAGCCCCAATAGGCAGAACATCCTCGTCGATGCTAAAATAAGGATTGTGGGGAGGATAAATGGATTTTGTTTTCTTGTTTCTTGTCCCCAATAGGAAGAATGATCCCGGAACTTTGTCCAAGTACACTGCAAAATCCTCGCTTCCCATGTAGTTTGGAGCTAGCTGGAACCCATCTTCTCCCACCAGCAACCTCGAAACCTTCCGGGCATGTTCGTAGATTCTCCGGTCGTTGATCGTCGGCGGCAGCGTCGGATGCTCCGTCCCCTCGAAGTCAATCTCCACCGTGCATCTATGCACAGCAGCCTGAGCCCTTACAATCTGTCATTCATATTCATATACTAATTAATCATGTAAGGATCCAACGTTTATCCCTATCCCAAAATGTATAGCTAGTAACGAAAGAATTAGAATTTCAAGCCAAATTTTCGCCGGACATAACGATTTTTCTAACAGGGTGTTGGACTTGGCTCTTTAGTCCCGACCTTCTCCCAACAGCATGTTAGACTTGGCCTTTTAGGCCCGATTTTCACCCAGCAAGGTGCTGGACTTGAACTTTCAGGTCTGTACCCAATAATCTTATAGTTACCTGGACTTTGGCCCTTTTTTGGTATGGTAGTGAATATATATAAATTACCTCTTCTATTCTTTTCCTGAGTGCGTAGAAGCTCTTCTTGCTGAAAGCACGGTAAGTGCCAGAAATGGTGGCGGAGTCCGGGATGACATTGAAAGCAGACCCTCCTTGAATCATGGCCACCGAAACAACCTTAAAGTTGATCAAACAATTCGGTTAGTCGAGCATATAATATATAAGCAAAATTGCAATTTAATTATCAACTTAAACTTTGAATTGAGACCAATTAATTACATGTTTCAATTTGGTATTTGGTAAGAGACAACCTCATGCAAAAAAAGTGTACGTACTTGTGAATCCAAAGGGTCAGTTTCCCTTGACACAATGCTTTGCAGACTAATGACAGAAGTGGAAGCAGCCAAGATTGGATCGACGGACTCCTGTGGCAAGGCGGCGTGGCCGCCTTTCCCTTTGATGGTGGCTTTGAAACTGCCGCAGCCGGCGAGGAACTGGCCGGGGCGCGACGCAAACACGCCGGTAGGATAGTTGTGGACGACATGTAGTCCGAAAATGGCTTCCACGTTTTCCAGCACCCCTTCTGCTATCATGTCTTTTGCCCCCACTCCCCGTTCCTCCGCCGGTTGAAATATTAACACCACGGTTCCCTATATCATAAACTCTAATTCAAGATCCATAGAATGTCTAAATTTTAAATCAAGAAAATATGATGAATCTACTGATAGCATGTTAATTAGGATCAAGCTAAGTGCTTAACACTACAAGCTACAGTTAATAGTAAAGACACAACGTTATTTCTTTATACCACCACATTTTTCCAGAGACAAGTTGTTAGATTTGCCCTTTCAGACCTCCACTCAACAATTCCCTAGTCACCTAGTGTTGGACTTGACTCTTCATCCGCCTCCGCCCAACATAGCATAACTACGACTCAATTGTTATACCATGGACCAGCAAGGTACACAATATATTGTGGGTCCACATTATCTACATATCATTTTAGAACAAAGTTCACAATATAAGCATGAACTAGGTCCAATACTATAATTTGACAACTACATACAACTCAATTTGGCTAATAGTGTTGTACTAATTTAAGTACAATTAGCTTCTTTGTTTGTTTGTTTGTTTTTGAAACATTTGTTTAAGGAAACTTAATTGCAATGTACGACAATTATTACCTGTAAATCGTGCTCTAGTTGGTGAAGAATCTTTGCAGCACCTAAAAGCATAGCAGTATGTACATCATGTCCACAAGCATGCATTTTGCCTTCAACTTGGCTCTTGTGCTCCCACTCCACCATTTCCTAAGTGTAGGACAAACTATTATTGACCAAGTAATAATGCAACCTACTTTCTACCCCTTATTCACGTGATATGTTTTAATTGCTTCAAAAAAAAAAAAAAAAAGAAATAGACTCGAAAGTTGAACTCAAAATCTTATGATTATCAAATCAATAGTCTGATCAAATCGACTGAAATTGCCCTACATACTTAGTCTTTTAGTTGGGACGAAAAATATTATTCAAATTACTTATCATTTTACCTACTATATATAACACTATATATATATATATATATATATATATATATATATATATATATATATATATATATATATATATATATATATATATAGGGTCCGGATCAGGTGAGGACCTAATCTTAGGTGAGGACATGAGGACTAATCTAGACCATTAAATCAGAATGATGTATGGCTGAGATTAAAAGGAAAACATCACACGAATTAAGAAAACAAACCCCTTGAAAATATTAAAATATATAAATTTAGGGTAAATCAGTCTTATTAAAAGATGTGCATTCCTATACAAAATGTTGTACATTCCTATACTGAGTGTTGTGCATCGATAACTTTATTGTTGTGCATTCAAACCCCGCCAAAAAATCATAGTGGACATCCCAATGTCCTACGATGCACTGAACTATGTGTTATAATGCACAACTCTCTAGCCTATAGTGCGCAACTTACAACACTAGGTTGCACAATCAGCACACACGAATGCACAATCGTACTACCCAGGCATTTATACATATACACGACAATTCAAATATAGACAATATTATACTCAAAAGAACGAGCGAAAAAAAATAAAAAATACTGATCAGTTTGCATGGGCGAACACTCAATCAAGGATGAAGAAATCGCGGCTCCAAATTGCAACGGTGATGATCCAAGAAAATAGGAAACCAATTTGGCCAAGGATTACACATGCGTTCACACTTAAAAAAATATAGAAAAAGACACTACTACCCCACTTTAACAAAAAAGATCAATCCATGTCATCTCAAGAACTCAAATCTAGGCCATCCAAATAAAAAAAAAAAAACAAACGCACAAGATTGGTCCTCACGTCCTCACCTAAGATTAGGTCCACACCTGATCCGGATCCTATATATATATATATATATATATATATATATATATATATATATATATATATATATATATATATATATATATATATACACACTCACAACATTTCAAACCATCGAAAACAAATTACTTCATTCATAAAATGATCAAGATTATAACATATAATCACGGTTGAATTCCATATATCATAGAGCAAAACTTAGAAAAAATATTTATATATACAAATACTAATTAAAATGTGGCATTTGACTTGAAGACTATGAGACCGTAGTCGACAACCACAACCGCCGTACACCGCCACGGCAGCCAGCCAGCCACCACTAAGACAAAAGTACTGCGCCAAGAATATATATATTCCCGTGATTATATGCCTTAAAAGTATCTATATTCCTGTATATATACCCACACAATTTTTTTACCTATATTTATTGGATTTAAAAAAAAAAATAGAATATATGATTATCAAATTTAGACAGTGAACATAAAAGTGAAATCGCCCACCCCAAGTACCCCTATACTTTGAACTGACAATTTGTGAACGGTAAATCATGATAACTTGATCAATTTAAACCAAACATGCTAGACTTTTGCTCACGAGCTCCTTTAGTTTGAGAGGTTGATCCTATAACACTAGGACTTAATCTTTAGTGTCTTGTGATAATTTTAGGTCCGAGACTAGTTGAGTATCCCATGCCGAGACAAGACTGGGAACTAACCTGAATGGGCAAAGCGTCGAGGTCGGCCCTGACCGCGACAAACGGCGGAGAACCGGAGCCGATGGTGGCGACGACGCCGGTCTTGGCCACCGGCCACCGGTACTTAACTCCCATCCGGTCCAGCTCCTCCCTCACAAGCGCACTCGTGGCAAATTCCTCGTACGCAAGCTCCGGGTTCCTGTGAATTTCCCTTCTTACCCTCCTCATCCACTCCACCGTCCGGCTATCATTCACCGCACCCATCACCCGATCTTTTAACCACAAACTCTCAGCCGTACAAAAACCCGGCGATACAAAACCCAGACACAAAAACAAGACAAAAACTCCGACAACATTTCCCATTACCATAAATAATTTTTTTTTAAATAATTATTTTTTGAAAAGATTAAGGATAAACAAGAATGAAATTTATGGAGTGGGGGGTTATATAAAGACTGGATATTTAAAGAAAAATCATACATAGGAAGGATAGATGAGAGACGCATATAATTGCTTGTGGTTGACGGAGCTAGTGAGAGTACAGCGGAGTTGAATAATTGGGAGAGAATATATCAATATTTTATCATGAAATCAATAAAACACGTGCTAATAAAAAGTAGGGACAAATTTAGATTTACAATATCAACCTTGTCAAAGTCGTGTCAATAATGTTGCGAGTTGCGACTAAGAGGGTTTTTTTAAAAAAAAAAAAAGATTTTTTACTGAAAAAACTCGCAATTCTTATTTGGGGGTGTATTAAATAAATTTACTAAAAATTCAATTTAGAGGAATTGACAAGAATTAAACACTTAACATTCTAATATGAGATTTATGTCACATCCGCTTACGCGCCCCACCACTTTTTAGTGCGAATTTTGTTTCTAGTTTAGGTCAAGCCAATAACAAGAGAAAAACGAGAAAAAAAATTAACTGGTCATCAATTGACAACCATTCAACACTTCCAGCAAAAGTATGAAGTACGCACATCAGTTAAAAAACGCTAATGAGCGCAATGCGCCCAGTGTCGAGAATTTTTATTTTTTTTAATCTTTTAAAAAAAATTAGATTTTTTTTTAGCTGTAGAAACCTATCTATCATCTCCCACCACCTATGAACAAACTTTAAAAAATAAACATAAAAAAGGTGCCCAATAGTGATGCTCTAACAATAGTCAATAGAAACTAGGAAAAGTCTTTTTTTTTGTTTTTTTTTTAAAATTAATATTGTATAATATTCTATTTTTTTAAAAAAAAAAATTGCAGAGTAGGCTGAGTAGCAAATAGTAATTTAAATTGTGTACGGGGAATTTATATAATATGTTTTATGTTATTAATTTGCAATAGATTAAATAATTAATTTATTTATAAGTAATTGGCATAAAGATATGTAACACACATCACATGTATGAAATATCATTCGATAAAATGTTTGATATAAAATCTAGTTTAAGAGTAGTTCTTGTGTGAGACGCTATTATTAGAAATCTATGCATTTGAGTGAGTTTATGATTTCTTATTCCAGTCATTCTGTAACTCTTTCTTTTATATATATATATATATATATATATATATATATATATATATATATATATATATATATATATATATATATTTTCATTGTCTATACTCTTTGTAAGAATCTTATTCAATACAATTATTACAGCTCTCATCTGGTATCAATTAGATAGGGTTTTAATTGTGATTGATTCTCTTCGAATAATTCTTGATCTACCGCTGAATACTGAGAATACAAACAATTACCAAATTGCCGGAAGCCAGCCGATTAGAAGAATCAAATTCTAGGCAACATTCCCATAAAATTGCCAAACTGTAATTGCCTTAGAAAATCCCAATTCCACTGCCTCACTACTTTCCGTACCATCGCGGAAATTGTGCAGTCGGTGCTCCGTTGTTTGTTGATTAGTTTCTCCGTTGATAATTTCTGAAATCATGCAACAACACGGTGGCAGTTGAAATCGTGATAGTCCGCATTGAAGTCAGCAACATGGCAGTCGTGGTGATATGATTCTCCAGCCCCTTGATGTTTGAATGGTAGAAGAATCTCACAAAAGAAGCCCTAGACACTTCACGATTAGCAAAACCAAATTATGTGCGCAACTTGCTTGTTTGTACTGATTTTGGGAAGTATTGTTTTTGGGATTTTGGGTTTATGGGAAAAAGGAAAACAAAAGAAAGGATAGTAGCCTTAGTCACAAAGGTCTGGACAAAATAAATTGAGCTTGGACGCCACACAATCACTGATAGCAGGTTCATACTCAGCATAACTCATTATAACTCATGAGTTGGAGAAAACACACGGAAATGGATGTCGAATGCTCGACCTTCTTTTGCTGCAATCTTTCTTTAATTTGTTTGGCATGATATAACAAAGTAAACAAACACTTGCACCCATAATGAAGCAATTGTGCAATTTCTTTTCTAACACCATACATAAATCTATTCTTGGTAATTACAGCTGGTTCAATCACCCCATCTTGAATCATCAAGTCTCTTAACTTGTTGTAGAATTCCTCCACCGTGAGTGATCCTTGTTGAAGTGTATTTAATTCAAAAGACTCCATAGATGATGAAAAACAATGAACACTAAATTTGGACAAATTTTTTCACTGACTTTCAGAATTTTTTGGGATTGGTAGGTGTGTGATTTTGGCCCAAAACTTTCATGAAACTAAAGAATGGTAAGTTTTATACTTCCAGAAAAAAATTCAAAGCAATTGGATATGTGGAAGTATTTTTTTTGCAATTTATCCCTCACACAGTGCAGGCTGGAAATCTTGGCAGAAACTGGACCAACAATAGGCCGGAATTCAACGAATTTTCTTGGTTTATGTATGAATGATTTCGGTCAATTTTTTTTACATGGAAGGCAATATTGGTGAGTTATCTACTACCAAGAAAAATTTCAGATCAAAACAACAAAGGGAACTATTTTTTTTGTATTTTTATTCCTGACAGTGCAGTTCAAAATATTTGGACCGACATAAAACATAACATGTATTGTTGGGTGGAATCACGACCTTTTTGTGCGAGGAATCAACCCTAGCTCTGATACCAAAATAGATGATATGATTCTCCAACCCCGATGTTTGAATGGTAGAAGAATCTCACAAAAGAAGCACTAGACACTTCACGATTAGCAAAACAAAATTATGTGCACAACTTGCTTGTTTGTACTGATTTTGGGAAGTATTGTTTTTGAGATTTTGGGTTTATGGACAAAAGGGAAACAAAAGAAAGGGTAGTAGCCTTAGTCACAAAGACCTGGACAAAATAAATTGAGCTTGGACGCCACACAATCACTGATAGGGTCCACACTCTGCATAACTCATGAGTTGGAGAAAACACACGACTTTCATCAACCAACTGAAATGTACAAGTCTCAACCTATTTATAGCTATTTCCTAAGCTATTAATCTGAAAATGGGTAATTAAAAGTAGCAAAATGTGGATAACATGGAAGCACATTTCCTACAAAATAGCTAGAAAAGTGAAAGCACATTTCACCACTAACTTTGTGGAGATAAAGTCTCCATTTAGATTTAACCCACTCCTAATCCTACCAGGTGCACAAAAACAAATAAATGACTAATTCAATGTCTTAAAATAATGAAAACACCCAAAAAATATAAGACTTGGTCGGTTCAAATAGGTAATGCTACGAACAAGACCATTTGTCACCATTTTCTTGCATACTGACTGTGTGGTGTATCCTAAGATCAATTTAATGGATTAATAGCATCCAATTAAATTAACTAAGGATTTGTTTTTCCATAACACGTGGCTTTAATATTCCATGTCAAATTTATAATGGTTTCGGTCACACAGGAGCCAATTGTTTTTGGCGCTATGATGATCAGTGTCAAATTTGTAAAGGTTTCGGTCACACGGGAGCCAATTGTTTTCGGCGCTATGATGATCATTGTCAAATTTGTAACAGTTTTGATCACACAGGAGCCACTTGTATTCGGCGTTATTTAGGGGCTCCGGGTCCTCGAGCTAATTTGGTGTTTCAGGATGGTTTTGGTGCTAACACCTCATCAAATTCTCATACTTGGGTTCTGGACACTGGAGCCACAAATCATGCAACTCTAGACATAGCTGTCCTTTCTACATCGGAGAAGTACACTGGTAATGACACTTTAGGTGTCGGTGATGGTATGTGTCTGCTATTAGTTGTGTTGGCCATGCTTCCTTTGATACCCCTTCTAGGTCTTTAAGATGTCTATTATATTGCATGTTCCTGGTCTGTCTACCTCTTTATTATCTGTTCAATGTTTTGCATCAGATAATAAAGTATTCTTTGAGTTTCACCCCTATTTTTTTTTTTGTTGTGAGGGATATCAATTCCAAGGAAATTCTGCTTCGGGGCAATAGCTCTGGGGGGCTATACATGCTCTGTTGCCAAGTTCGTCTCCCTCAACGTTTCTTTCTGCTTGTGCCTCTGCATCAGTTTGGCACAATCGTTTAGGTCATCCTCATCATCGTGTCCTTAGTCGTATTCTTCAGTCTTGTTCAGTTAGCGGGTCTAGTACTATTATTCATTATAATAATAGTTTATGTAATGCGTGTCAATTGGGTAAGTCTGCCCGTTTTCCCTTGCCACGCGTTGTGTCTTCAAGTTCGAATGTTCTTGATTTAATATACATAGACATTTGGGGTCTAACTCTTATATTATCTACAAATGGTTATCGTTACATTGTAATCTTTGTAGATGATTATTCTCGTTACATGTGGTTGTTCCCTATGAAATTAAAGTATGATCTCTATGTCATATTTGATAAGTTTCGTGTTCTTGTTGAAAGGTCATTCAATCGACAAATAAAATCCATTAAGTTTGATCTAGGTGTTGAATACAAAAAATTGCATGCCTCCTTTGTTTAGTTACGAATTGAACGTAGGCAATCCTATGCATATACACATGAGCAGAATGGTCGTGTTGAACGTAAACACAAACATATTGTTGAAACTAGTCTAGCACTCTTAGCTCATGCCTCTGTTCCTTTAAAATTCTAGGATTTTGCTTTTGAGACTATTGTTTATTTAATTAACAGAATGTCATCCTCTGTATTAAATAACTCTAGTCCTCATATCATGCTGCATAAATCTCTTCCCTCTTATTCCTTCCTTCGTGTTATCGTGTATTTGGTTGTCCGTGTTATCCTCACTTAATACCGTACAATCGTCACAAAATGTCGTACATGTCATCTCCTTGTGTCTTCCTAGGTTATCTTGATTCCTTTATGGGGTATAGGTGCATGGACTTACACACTAATAAGATTTACACATGCAGGCATGTCAGATTTGATGAAGAAGTATTTCCTTTTGCTATTGAACCTTCCTTGCAAGCGACACCACCTACTCAGACTACTCCCTAGGCGGATTCTATTCTTCACCGTGATGTCATCAATGCTGCATCGGATTTCGTGCATCCAGATCCGCCGCCAGAGCCCATGCAAGCTGATTCCGTGCAGCCTACGTCATCCTCAACCGAGCCTGTAAAGACTGCACGACGTTCGCGTGGTAAGTAGACGAGACCAACTGTCCGCACCCACTCCATGGCGACTCACAGTAAGTCTCAGACTCCTTCTACGGCTCTGGCTACTCAGGTTTGTCCTACGGAACCTACATATTACACTCAAGCAAAGCTGTTAAGTATCTTGAGTGGCGTGAAGCTATGGACCAAGAATTTAATGCTTTACTACAGAGTCAGACTTGGTCCCTAGTTCCTTCCACCATAGGTATGAATATTATTCAGTGTAAATGGGTGTTACAAGATTATGAACTGAACTGATCGTATATTGATGTAAAACAACTAGCTATAAATAGTATACAAATGAGTGTAAATACCAGGGAGTTGTAACAACTATTCTAACATAGCTATTCTACAGGAGCTAAACTAGAACAAACACATAGATAGAATATGTCAGCCACATATCTCCTTAACAGGTGTTTCACACGAAAAGGAAGGTTGATAGCACTATTGAGAGGCATAAAGCCAGGTTAGTAACAAAAGATTTCAATCAGGTTCTAGGTCAGGATTTCTTTGATACATTAAGTCTAATGGTGAAACCCACAACTGTAAGGTTTCTATTATCTTTAACTTTATCATCTAGATGGGTTATCAGACAGCTAGATGTTCATAATGCTTTTTTAAATGGAAATTTGGATGAAACTGTTTATATGAAGCAACCCCCTGGTTATATTGATGCTAGTTTTCCACACCATGTATGCTTATTAAAACGTTCACTGTATGGATTAAGACAAGCTCCTAGAGCTTGGTTTAATAGTTTACACACGTTTTTTAAATATCCGTTGGTTTTCAAGCATCAAAGACAAATGTCTCTCTATTATATTCTCTCAAGATTCTGCACTAATTTATTTGTTGGTCTATGTGGATGATATTCTTCTAATGGGAAGTGATCAGGCTCTAGTTACTCACTTACTCTCAAAATTGTCTGCCACTTTCAAGATTAGAGATCTTGGTGAACCAAATTTTTTCCTTGGCATTGAAACAATTAAATGTGATGATGGAATTCTATTGTCTCAACAACGATATATGAATGATATTTTGAAACGTGCTGGCATGGCGGAATGCAAACCTCTCTCTACTCCTATATCTGTTTCAAAAATTGTTCCCTTTAGTGCAGACTTATATGATGATCCTACGCAGTACATGAGCCTGGCTGGAGCACTACAATATCTCACTGTTACACGACCTGATTTATCATTTGCGGTTAATCAGCTTTGCCAGCACATGCATGCTCCTACCACATCACATTGGAAGCAGCTGAAACCTGTCTTGAGGTATGTTAAGGGAACAATTGGGTTTGGGTTGCGTATACGGAAATCAATGTTAAAGGAAATTCATGCTTTTTATGATTCTGATTGGGCTGGTTATCCTGAAGATCGTAAGTCTACTAGTGGTTTTGCTATTTTTTCTGGGGACTAATCTTATATCTTGGGTCTGTAAGAAGCAAAGAACTGTTGCTAGGTTTTCCACTGAGGCAGAATACAAAGCCCTAGCAGATGTCTGTGCAGAGGTATTATGGATTATTTTGTTGCTACGCGAGATAAAGGTGTCATGTATTTCTGTTCCAAAGCTATGGTGTGACAATCTAGGTGCTACTTATATGTGTGCCAATCCATTCTTTCATGCACGCACTAAGCACGTAGAAATTGATTATCACTTTGTGCGAGATAGAGTGGCTTCTGGAGATATTCAAGTCAACTTCATCTCAACCAAAGATTAACTTGCAGATATATTTACGAAAGCTCTACCTGGTCCTAAATTTTCTTTTCTTAGAGACAAGCTACAAGTTACTAGTATACCATGTGCTTGAGGGGGAGTATTAAGACTCTATGTATTTGAATTAGTTTATAATTTCTTATCCAGTTATCTTGTGACTCTTCCTTTTATATATATATATATATATATATATATATATATATATATATATATATATATTCTCATTGTCTGTACTCTTTGTAAGAATCTTATTCAATACAATTATTATCGAGATCTCACCAAACATTATATTCTATTGTTTAGGTACAAGAAAACCTACGAGGATAGCAAGTATTCATACTATGATAAGATCAAATTGTCTTCCTCTAGAAATGTCAAAATCATACTACATTTTAAAAACGTTATGATAATAATGTTTGGGTACAGAGGCAAAGTATATTAAATTATTAAGCAATTAATCTATGGACAGGAGAACGTGTGACAAAGCACACATGAATTCCTTGTTGTGGATATTGATTTTAGGTTTCCAACTACTACTCTTGACCCACCTTGCAAGTTGCCTCAATTAAACAATTGGATGTCATGTACCAAAACTTTAATACTAGAAGGTCGGGATTGGATCCCTTGTACACACATGAAAATTAAGATTTGACCCGCACGATTAACATCTACAGAGCCTCTAGGGGTGGATCCTGTGGGCTTAGGATTAGTCTGGTGAAACTGAGATCTCCTAAGTTTTTTTTTTTTTTTTTTTTTTTTTTTTTTTTTTTTTTTGTTAAATATATATATAAAAAGGGGTGGAAATTGAAGAATGACTGGGCAACCCATGATTTACCTCCTCCAATGCTATTGGGCAGGGGTTATAGGGGTTTAAGATGACTGGGCAACTCCGTCGACTCATAATTTACCTCCTCTAACACCACTGGGTAGCAGTTCTGGCAACTTAGAATTAGTCAGTATAGAGGTTGGGTAATTTACGATTTACTTCCTCCAGTGTCTTTGGGTAGGGAATTTAGGGACTTAAGATTAATTAGTTTGTGTGTGAGAACCACGTTAAAGAAATTAGAATAGTGAAAATACAAAATGCAATATACTACATAAGAAAAATATATAAATATAAAAAAATTAGAAATATATTTACAAATATTTTTCTTTAAATATATTTAAATATTAATTATTTTTTTAAGTACACATTATAAATTTTAAAAGTACAAGGCATCATAGGATTCATAGATGAAAAGCAACATTAAATAATACTGTGAACCGCATGGCCCCGGGAACCACATGGCGGGATGTACGAATACAGACATACATTAGTTATGTAATTAATTTAATATTTAATTTTGTGATTGGGATTGAAAAATGGAGCTGGTTTATTGACTACAAACTTTATACAATTTTTTGGTCTGGTAGTTCTCTTTCCCGTGTTTAACGGGCCTTTTACACAAAAAAAAAAAAAAAGAAAAAGAAAAGAAAAAAAGAAAAAAACTTTATACAAATTTTTTACGTTGTTAAAGTATATTATGTATATTGTAAATAATGGAATTGACAGTTAAATACGTTCATATGAAAATAATTATTATATAAATAAATATCCTATCTTTTAAGTTTTAATAGACAGTTAAATACGTTCATATGAAAATAATTATTATATAAATAAATATCCTATCTTTTAAATTTTAATAGACTGTTTTTATATATGTTAATTAATTTCATAATTACAAATACTAATTCCTAATGCATGGACACTTTTGCGACATTCCAATCTTCGAAATGATTTTAAAATAATTAATTATATCATTTCAAACCTTTTAATATGTTATTTTTAAATTAATATATAATTAAATTATTCTACCCAATTATATATATCATTCCTAAATACGATCCTACTAACTATATATATATATATATATATATATATATATATATATATATATATATATATATATATATATATATATATTATCCTATTATACCTATATGTAATTATGGAATTGACAGTTACATACGTCCATATAAAAATAATTATTATATAAATTAATATCATGCCTTTTAATAGACTACTTTTATATTTTTATATATGGTAATTAATTTCATAATTACAAATAAAAATTTTTAATTGCAGAGATATTTTTGTGACATTCCAATCTGTCAAATAATTTTAAAATAATTTATTATATCATTCTAAAACTTTTAATAGGTTATTTTTAAATATATATATATATATATATATATATATATATATATATATATATATATATATATATATATATATATATATATATATATATATATATATATATATATATATATATATACATAGAGAGAGAGAGAGAGAGAGAGAGTTAATACCATCTGAGGTCCTCCGAGTATAGTGGTTTTGCCACGTTTAGTCCTAAATTTTTAAATTGACCATCTGTGGTCCTTCGACTTTTAAATTTAACCATTCATGATCCAAGTTAACCACCCATGGTCCTTAAACTATTAAATTTTAACCAACCATGGTCCTTCCAAGAGGACCATAGCTGGTTAAATTTCAAAACTTGAAGGACCATGGGTGGTTAACTTGGACCGCGAATGGTTAAATTTGAAAGTTGAAGGACCACAGATGGTCAATTTGAAAGTGTAGGACTAAACGTGGCAAAACCACTATACTCGGAGGACCTCAGATGGTATTAACTCTATATATATATATATATATATATATATATATATATATATATATATAGAGTTAATACCATCTGAGTTAATATATATATATATATATATATATATATATATATATATATATATATATATATAACGTTTAGTTATATATATATATATATATATATATATATATATATCATTCCTAAATCTAATCCTATTAACTATATATGATGTACGATATATATGTATATTTTTTTTGGAATAATATATATGTATATAATAATATATAAATATAATATTATCCTATTATACCTATATGTAATTCTGGAATTGACAGTTACATACGATCATATGGAAATAATCATTATATAAATAAATATTCTGCCTTTTAATAGACTATATATATATATAGTAATTAATTTCATAATTACAAATAAAAATACAATATGAAAAATTAATGTAAATCTTTAATGTAAAAAAATACACATAATTTCTCCACAAGAAATAACTTAGAAATAGAAAAAAAAAAAGAAGGTAATTTTACCACTGCATAATTGTAACAACAACCAAATTGAATCGTTGCATGCCCTTTGCCCAATTGAAACAAATTTCTCGAGATATGTTGTTGTAGCAAAGAACGCACTCCAATCCGACTTCATCGCAATGTTGCCCAGGATCCACCCCACGAAGTCACCACATTCCCATTGCACGCGGTTGTAGATAGGAATCAGGCGCTCCCAGACCTCCCTAGCCTTCCAACATTTCATTACAATATGATCAGCATCTTCATCAACCTCGGGGCAGAAGACACATGCGCCATCAACAAGGAGAACTCTCCTCCGTCTCTTAACATTGCACATGATGCGTTGATGGCAGAAGAGCAGTGTATTCAGCCCTTCAATGGGTTTGGGATAGGAAGGTCAGAAGACTTTGAATCCGTACTGATGCAAAAGAGGTTGTGGATTGGATCAATGGGGACGCTGAGTTACTTGGTCCCATTAAGGGAATCGTATGTGCCTGCAAGGAGTGTATCAACAGGGATTAGGAGGTTAGGATTATGAATCTAAAGAAAGAAATCAAAAGATTTTTACTTATGTTTATATTTTTTAATAATACATGTTTATAAAGATAAATTATATTTTATATAATAATAATAATTTTTATAGAGATACGTAAATAAACAAATATATATATATATATATATATATATATATATATATATATATATATATATATATATATATATATATATATATATATATATATATATATATATATATATATATATATATATATATGGTAGGGAATACCCCGACCGACATGCCTTTGTCCTTTTCTTCTTGTCTTTGCAGGTTGCAGGTCGGGTTTCTTGAGAAGAACCCGGTCGATTCCCGACCAGGTAGTGCCCGATTGGCGTTGTCGACCACCGATCGGTAGCCCTTTAGCGAGAGAGCTGGTGAGAAACACGTGGCGACTCTATGCGTTGACAGGCAGGGCACCCGGGAAGGCGACACGTGGTTGCTACGTGGGCGACATGCCGGACGGCCGGATTTGTGTCTCCGGCTCCGCGTGCAATTGCAAGTACTCTCTCTTGTTGGTTTGTGGTTTGTTTTAGTGGTGCTTGCTGCATCTTAATTTGTGATTGATGATTTGAGGTGTAACATATAATTGATCTATTCCCTTGCCAATAGTTTTGTTAACCACTTAATAACTGGATTAATTCTTGATCTTGTGTGTTATGCATTGCTAGTGAGGGCTTATGTGAGATTCCAGTCATGGGTGTTCTGCTAGAACTTGCCTCATTACTCCCTAAGTGAAGTCTAAGTTTTGCATGTTTGGAAGTGATTTAGGCCATTTTTGTTTAGCCATAGCCTTTAAACCTGTCCCTACATATGTTTTTATCCTTTGTGTCCACATTGTGCCTCTCGTTTGTTTAAATAAGTGCTAAGCACTTATCCCCTCATTGTGATTATTTTTCTTTGATTTACCCATGTAACACCCCATATTTTTCAATACTTTTAAAACTTATATAATAAAGATAGAATCTCATAAAA